GAGAGAGAGAGAGAGAGAGAGAGAGAGAGAGAGAGAGATAGAGAGAGAGTATGGATGTATATACAGTATTTGCGTTTGTGCCTGAGTGAAAGTGTTTCAGAACTGTTTTGTATTGTTTTGACTTCCTTGTTATATTACTTGTTTTGTTTAGTTGGATTTTGCATGGGGTTTTAGTGAGGGTAGAACTGGCACACAATCACTTGTTTAAGTTATTATATCTGTCTATCGCACGTCAGCCTTCCATACTGAGGAGCTGGGTTGTGGAAATACGGAATGAGACTGTATGAAGGAGGTACCGATTTCCGTTTTAATATGAGGATTATTTTTCACATCTCTAGCTGGAGGAAAAAAGGAGGGGGAAAGAGAAGGGGAGGAGAACCTGTTGTCGGTGATCTGGTTTATTCTTTGTAACTATCTTATTATTCTTGGCACTCAGGTAAAGGCGTGTCGCGAAGAAGTTACTGATGGCTACCCGGTTACGTGAGTTTTCTTATTATACGCCTATTTTACCTTGTCCCCGAAACCCCCTCGTGACGCAATACTACCATTTCATGGGACACGGAATATGACGTCAGTTTATGGGGCAGGTGATGAACCCATCGTATGGAGTAGGCACTATGACATATCTCAGTAAAAACGGCGGTTGCATAATTTGCCCATTTCATTTTTGTTGGCTTGACACGAAACTTTTCTTCCAAACAGATACGGCAGGTACTTGGACAATTTCGAAAGAAAAGGGTTCGAAACTCTTCTCAGCAGTGACAGCAACACCTTTTTCAAACGAGTATTCGGGTACAAGAAGATAGCAGAGAAAATGCGCGGGGCATTCCGTCAGATCCTCAACGACACAGCTCTAATGGAGAGAATCCGATCACTTGAACCAGACCTCATGATTTTATTTAATATGCCAGGAGCGAGGGAGTTTGTCGTTCTGCCCTACGTTCTGGGCATCAAGTTCGTCTTCCTGGGGCCTTACCACGATCTGCACGGTTACAGAGTGCCGTTTGTGCCCTCAGCTTCGCCTTTCTTTCTCACACCATTCGACGTCAATGAGGAGCTAGATCTCGGGCAGAGAATCAAGAACACGCTACAGAACGTGGCCCTGTATCTCATCAACGAGTTCGTTCTCAGTGCAGATTTGTTGTCCGAGTTTGCCCCAGCTAAACCGTGGATGTCTGTTCCGGATATGATGCTCAAAGCCGAGTTGTTCCTCGTTGAAAGTGACCATATTCTGGACGTGACGAAACCACTCTTGCCCAACACTAAACTGATAGGAGGAACGGCATCCTCACAAGCTCAACCTCTTCGAGACCCTTTCAAAATATTCGTGGAAAACTCCGAAAACGGCGTTGTTGTGGTTAGTTTCGGAAGCAGCATTGTCAACTTACCTCAAGAAGTTGCGGACAAACTGGCGTCAGCGTTTCAACGATTGAATCAGACAGTAGTCTGGCGAGTAAATATGACGTCGTCAGATCCGGGTAAGGTTATGACCTCCATGTGGCTGCCGCAGAATGACCTTCTGGCACAAGCTCAGACGCGACTCTTCGTGTCTCACTGTGGGTCAAGCGGTCAGTACGAGGCTCTGTACCACGGAGTGCCTCTCTTGTGTCTACCGCTCTGCTGTGACCAATACTATAACGCATACAGGTGAGCTTCCGCCTGAATTTTGTCACCAATGAAAAGTTTGCTTTAATGATAATAAGGAAGTTATTATCAAAAATTTATTCTTTAAAATATTGAAATGGGATATTGGCAAAGAGTTTGTTTTCTTGGTAACAATATCAAGTCCTTTGGCCCTCCTGTAAAATTGGAAAAACTGCATTATTATTATACTGTAGTTTTAAAATTGAGGGCAAAATAACACACAGCCAAGGCGTCGGTCGTGACCATGCACACTAATATGTAAAGTTAATTACGCCAAAGGCCAGTAAGTGTGCACCTCTTTGTGTTACGGATGGGGGATACAGGTATTTATTACATAACCTACACAAAGGGGAAAAAAACAACAACTGTGAGATGTACATTTTCAACCAACCACTTTCCTTCTTTACCTCTTAAGTTTCTAGGAAAAATTATATCTCACTTTCAGTTCAACCTTTTTGTATTCAGCAAGATGTTAAACTCATAATCCCTGGCTGCCCCCCTCCCCTCAAACAAAGGTCTGAGGTTCAAGTCCCAGGTGTCCTGCCTCAGGTGGTTGGTAGATGGTCTGGTCCAGTCTTCTGCTACCTTTATTTTTTTAAAAATGTTTTGTACTAATCTGATTCTGATTCCTGATGAAACATCAGAGATCAGCGGATACCACTGGTATGACCTACTTCTTTACTCGCTATTTATTTTTTCTTTGTCTTGCTCTTACTATTTCTTTGCAATAAGTTTGATGTTATTGTTGGGATGAGCTTCTTTTTACTCACTCCCGGCGAGATGGAGGATTGGACGACACTTAAGGTAGGCCCTACTTCTTTTCATTCCCTCTGTTGCTTCGATCTGACTGTTTATT